CTTTTTTTCTTTCAACATATTTTTATTGATTTTATAATTGAACAGTATACAACAATCACCTTCAAGAGAACACAATAGAAGGTGGACAGCAAGTCAACAAGGTGGTAATACAGCATACATAAATGTTACAACAGAGTACATTTCACTTAAGTTTATCCATCAGGCTAATGACTGGTTGCCAAATCTTATAAAAAAACTCTCTCGGTTAGACAAGGTAAGAAATTAGGCTTTCTCGTCCGAGGTCATTTAAGTAAAAAACAAAAAACAAAAACAGCGGCCGACAGCGCTGTAAACAACGGTAGACTGATGGGTAATAAGAGAATGAATAATGCCAAAAACAGAGATTTGAGACGGGAAACTGTTCTTGAGAGAGCGAGAGCTGTGCATGAAGTGTGATTTTATCGTGGGGGAAGCAAAACAGCAAAAGTTAGTGGGAATTCATGACGATGTTTATCAAATGTGAAGCGTAGTTTGCATCTTCTTTTGCTGCTGGTTCAGTGAATTTTGGTTGGAGAGAGACAAAACCTGCAGCTCAGAATCGAGTGCAAAAAAAGACGTAAACACAGCGCGGACCCGATGCATCAGAGTCAGCGAGCTGTGGGCTTTCAGCCCCGACGCCGTGTCCGTGTGCGGGCTGAAAGCCGAGAAAGAGAAAGCTGACTGATGCGTCGGGTCCGCTCTGCGTTTACGTCTCTGTGCAGAATCCGTGTACCTGCTCTCATTTACTGTTTGGTGGTTGTTGAAATAGTTTTGTGAGCTTTAACCTGAGATTCTCGCGTTTCTGGCAAAAAACATTTATATTTAAAAGTCGATTCAGGATTTAATGAATTGATATCGCTTTATTCAAGCTACTCACCTCTGTCTATCCCCCTGCACTTTCAAACGTACACACGAAGGACTACATGAATATCTGGACCACGACCAATCAGAGCGGTCCCGCCCCTGACTATCTCTGATTGGTTTAGACCACGATAGGGGCATAATATGTGTCTGTTGTTGACCACACGGAGACTTTCAGAGTTGCAAAGACTTTTTTTTTTTGTTATTCGAACAGGTGGTCACACCGGTGCAACCTAAGATTTTTTTTTAGTCACACCATTGAAAAATTTGGTCGCACTCTAGAGCCTGCAATCATTGCGTTACTTAAAAAGAAAAAAAAAGTTTAACCTTCTGGGGTCCAGGTTATAATTGGCCATTTTTAACTACTTTTGATGTTTCCTCTACATTCCACCTTTAAAAACTGTTTACTTTGCCTTGTTTTCAGCACAACCTCACATGTCTGAATTTACAGTTGTGTTTTCATTTTGACAAACTGTATTAACACAATTGATCTAAAAATCAGACAAAAAACTAAATTCGAGTAGAAAAAGTTATATTTTTACTGTGACAACCAAACATATTTAATGAATCATATTTCATAACTTTAAATGCAAACAAATGGTCAATTTAAAAATCATATGCACAAGTTTTGCAAACAACAAAGTTATTTGCAGCCATTTACCTTTGACCCCCTTTTTTAAAATAACCATTTCAAACTATTTACAGAACAACCAGCTGTTCTTCAATAAGATGCCACACAAATTATTTGTGCCACTCCAAAAAAAATAATTTCTGTCCACCATAAAGGAGAACATCACAGCCTGATACCTGCAGGTCTGACAGCAGCAGCTGTATCACTCCTGTTTCTACCTGGAGGCAGCAGTTGCCTCATTGTTCTGACACACAACACAAAACTATCCACAACACTACACACTAACTACACACTCCAAACACCACAAATCTCTCAAAACTCGCTCTCTCTCTTTTTCTGCTGTCTCTCTCTCTCTCTCTCTCTCACTGTCACTCCTAAAACTTTTCCCTCTTCCCAAACAACCAAATGTCATGTTGCCATATCATTTTTTGGATTGGTGGACATGGTGCATTTTTCACCAACATGAACGAGTTGTTTTTGGTTTTGTTTTTTTATGTTTTGGTCATAAGCAGAGTGTGCTTGCTAGCGCTGTCCTTAGACGTTAAACGTGACGAAACTATTGAGGAAAAACACCGTGTAAAATGAAAAATGGTCTGTATTTGTATAGCGCTTCACTAGTCACTAAGGACCCCGAAGCGCTTTACACATTCAGTCATTCACCCATTCACGCACACTTTCACACACTGGTGATG